AATAGATTAAGATCTGGCTTAATTGGTAGAGTTCAGCAAGCTGTTCTAACCAGATACTCAGCACTGACTGGTGATATTTTTAGTGGGGCTCTGCAGGCAGGAACACTACGCTTGCTGCCATTTGATGTTCTGGAATTACACAGAAACATGGATAATATTGGCAAATGTCCCGAAGTCTAACGAGGAATGGGCAGCTATGGAAAGTCACAGTTTTGCCTGCATTGGCATAAATGGGTTTCTGGCATTTGATTACGTCCTTTCTCTTCAGTTCTGCACAGGTGCAGAGGTGCTCTTGCAGGGTACAGCTGCAAGGCTGTGGTCTAGTCAGCTGCTGATGGGCATACAATGATTTCTCGCAAGGGTCATTGATATTAACTACTAACTCGTGTATTATCAAAAGGAGTAGTATGAATCATTTAAAAAGTTTAAACTGTGAAACCAGGAGACACCTATGAATGATCTTTGAAAGGCAAAGAAGCCTTCTTGCACACTTCTACATGTCTTTATTTAAACTAGCACCAATATAAGCCTGAGATTAAAATATGTTTGCAGCTTTACAAAGTCAGGAAATTCTAGCCCATGGGCTGAAGCAGAATTTGCTATCAAAAAATAAAACAAGAAAGCCAGTCGAGGTAAGCAAAAATACCCAAAAGAGAATTGACCAGAACGTTAACGATCAGTCATACACAACAGATATACAATCTCTACTACTATCACTTTCTGGTCAGCTGATCGAAGCACATCTTTCCTGATTCTCCATTTTCTTGGCCAGCTCTTGAATCAGACTGAGATTAGATAATGCTGAATTAATATTCGTCTCCTTTGCCGGGTTTGATTCTGACCAATCCTTTGAATATTACTACATGTAGTCACAAGCTTACCTAAGCAAAAATCAAAGTGAGAGGTCATACTAATTTTGATAGTGTAAACTGTTACAAGATGCTCTCTTTCTCAGCAAAATCTTGCTAGCAAACAGTTATAACATTTGGTTTCTGTTTGACCTTGCAGAACGAGATGACTGATAAATGTAAAAGATACTATCCAGAAGAAAACACTGAAGAATATACTCTCTCCCCTTACTATCTAAAATGCAGATTCAGATACATATATCCCACAGTGCATTGGGATCTCTTATTTCATTTGTTATGTATCAAATTGACACCTAAAATCTTTCCACATTATCATTTTACAAACCTATCATTAAAACTCTTGGTGTCAAAACTATGCAACCTCAGAAGTGTCCTACTAAACATCAACACCATCTAAACAGCACAGCAACTGAATGCATCACCTGTCTACTGTTCTTTTCTCCACTAAACAAAAAGCAAATGTCTTTTTCTGTGTCAAAACCAAATTGTTCCTTTTTCCTTCCCCCCCCCCTTTTCTTTTTGACAACAAAACTCCTCACCAGCTAGGCCATTCAATGGGACTCCTTTCTGTGCATGTCATCAGTATTACCGAGTTTTCCTATGCCCTGCACTGTCCTGTCTCCCTCTGCACCACCCCACAACTTCCATTTTCATCGCTCTGTCTCTGCTTCTGGATTTGTGTCCAGCTTAGAGCAAAATTTTCACAAGGGACTGACATGCCTTACATTCACAAGTAGTGAACCAAAGGATTTTTCTCAGTTGGTGTTTTAAACAGGACTGCTCAATGTTTTGTTGGGCAGTATCCATTTGTTTTTTTCCTGCAAGTCTGTTTTCCTAACAGCACATTGGCAGTGTGAGGATCCTTGCCTTTTCAGACACTCTGAGGCAATATCTAATCATCAATACCCGGCTCCTCATACCGATTCTCTGAAAGACAAATGTTGTTCATATTCCAAATATGCATGCATCTTATTCTACTTCCAAAGGCTTTTTATCATTCTTCTGATTTTAGTCCTCCCTTTTCTTCACTTAAAACTAACCATCTTATCTCTGTCCTCCCTAGAACTGTGGGACTATTACATTATCGGATTTTCTTCCTCTAGCACCCCTTGACACCCAGTCTATTCTCTTTTTTGCAAGTCTGTCCGTGACATTTTCTTCATACTAATTACTTAATTTTTAATCTTATCTTTCCCTTTCCTATTTACAATTCACATTGTTATCTTCCTTTTGGGGTTTGTCAGCTTTCTTTTTCTTTTCACTTGCATTGCCTGTAGTGAACATAGTATCAGTAGGACATGGCATTCTTCAAATAGCTTCAACTGAGTTTTGACTTTTCCTTACTCTCCAAAACCCTGCACTTACATCTTTACAGATTTGCTTACTCAGTTCCATCTTCTTTCTCGTCTCCTAGCCATAATGCTCATATATTTTGTTTCCCATACAAAGTTCTGTTCCTTTTTTCCTGGCTACAGAAACCTATCAATCAACCCTTCCAGTTTCATCAGCAATGATGTATCCTTTATTTTCCATGAGGACATAAGTGAAGCTAGAGTTACTCTTTGAACTTCACTGGAATCTTTTTATCGTTCAGGTGGGAAGCACCTGTGAACACACAGGGAGGAGCTGAAGTAAAAAAAAAAAAAAAATGTAAGGAGCTTAGTGTAAGAAGCTGAAATAAACACATATTACCTTGCTTCACAGAACTGTAGTATTTACAAAAAACGGATCAGGTATTAGAGTGAGTATCAGAACTATACTAAGCACTCCTGAAGAAGCTGCAAAAATGAAGCGATCAATGTGCCTTGCTTCTATGATTTTATTATACAAGAGGTGCTATGTATTTAGTACCACACAGAACAAGTTTGTTCCTTACAGTGTTTTATTCAGTTCCACGCTTCAACTACGTGTACAGTGCTGTGCCGTGAGTCACTTTTAATAGCTATCTCATTTGTTTCTGACCTGAAAAACCTTTTTATAGAGTCTTGTGTACAGCCTAACGCTTCTCGTGCCACATCGCGCTTCAGAGGCCGGAGACACCATCCCACGTCGTGTGCTTCGACGACTCCGGAGCGAGCCTCGGGGAATCACCGAACCATCCACGCAAGCGCCTGGAAGGGGAAGCCTGGGTTATTTTATTCCTCTCGGGAAAAAAAGGGGATTTGTACCTGAGGTGCCAGGCAGCATCAGTACATGGGCTGGACATCGACCCGCACAGACCGCCCTGTGCCCCGGCAGAAAATGGAGGCTCCCCCATGCTCCGGGCCTGGCTCTGTCACCGCCGGGACCGTCACCTCCCGTCACGTTTTGGGTTTGTTTGGCCCGAAGCTGACAAACCGGCTTCGGCTCTCTCCGCTGACGCAAGGACTAAAGCGGGGCCCCTCCCGCC